GTCCCACGGGCTTTGAGTGGCAGGTTTTGGGAGGTGCCATTAGCCTGTTTCCACCTCTCAGAACTCCTTCTAACACTCATCAGGAGTTTGATAAACGCCTGAGTTAGGATGAACACCGGTCTGGCAAAACAGATACGCACAGAGCCAGTTTTGCCCAAAAGCTAAATTGAGAAGTGGTGGTTTTTCTTTGTTTTGCAATCAGTCTGTGCTTTTCCCTACCCTGGGCCCTCTGACTACAGAGACAATAAGACCCAGGTTCCATTCTTAAGGAGTTGCCAGCCTAGTCTAAGCGGCAGATGGATGTTAAGCTGAAGACTGCAGAGGACATAGACCAAAGCCTGGAAGAGCATGGGATGTTCTAGCAGGTACTCCCATCCCCAGGGAGTGTTGATGGGCTGCTGGGGGTCCCAAACTCAGTGCTGTACATTGCTCTCATTCCTTAAAAAGGCTTCCATAAGGAAGCCACAGGCTCTGTGGGGTTGGTGCCCTTCTCTGAGTTATCACCAACTATTCATTGGTTTGACACTGAAATAAGTAAATGTTGAATGAATAGACTTCATTACCATGTTTCACATAAGTCATGGGCTTGGAGACAGATGGTGCCAGTGGCCCTGTCGACGGTGACTTGCTATTCTTCCCTGATTCAGCAGACACTTGTTGAGGGAACTCTGCCAGGTGCTGTAATGGGGACTGAAATTTCATCCTCATTTTCTAGGTGAGGAAACCAAGGCCCAGAGGCAAGGCTACCATGTGTCCCAACTTCAAGGTGAAAGGAAGCAGCTTGCTGCATTTAAACCTGCGTTGTCTGATTCCACCTCCAGCAATGATCAAACTGGCTATGGTGGGTGCAGGAGGGCTGGAAGGTGGAAACACGGATACGTGACTGGTCTCAGTTCCCTGCGCCTACCACAGAGCAAGGGCCATGCCCCGCCCCCTGCACCTAGCACCGAGCACGCCGTTAATCTAGCTGATCGGTCCCTATTTCTTCCCCTGCACATACTGTTCTGTCCACCTGGAATGTAGCCTCACCACTGCTTTCCCACTTGGCAGACTCCCTGCGTGTCCTCCACGGCCCAACTTCAATGTCACCTCTGGAACTCATCTTTGATTGTCCCGAGGCAACATTGGAAGTTTTTACCTCCAGGGCTCTCACAGGGCCTCCTACCGCCCTCTGTGGAAGCCCAGACCACACTGGCCTCTCAATGTCTTCATCTTCCTCCTTCTGACCCCTGACTGAACTGAAAGCCCTTTCCTTGATGTCAGGCCCGAGGCCTGTTTCATGCGTGGCCCCAGCTCCAGCACAGGGCCTGGAACACGGGTCACTGAGCGTTTTAGTAAGTCCTAATGCAACAGGCTGCCTGGGTGGATGTGGGTATGACCCAGAGCATTGTTTTCTAAAGTGGAGTTTGACCTTGACCTGCCAATGGCAAACTCCAGCAGATGAGTTTGTCCTTGGCTCTGAGGTTACAGTCAAGCAGCTGCTCAGTGGGGCCCCAGAATGACTTCAGAGGCCCAAGACCCCTGGAACATTAGAGCCAGACTTAAACAGGGCCTGTAATAGTAGCAATCCCCTTACTCAGCCACTGCTGTAGTATCATTTGCTTATGCTCTACCAACATAATTTTTGCCAGATTTGTGGATCATCTGTATTATTTTTCACTTAACATTTTTACTCACATTGCTTTGTTCTAAGTAATAAGAAATCATAGGGCTTCAAAAAATGTATTTTGAGTAGGTGGTCCATTCACACAGGCTGGACTGCAGTGGCCCGCACACAGCTACCACAGCCTTGTCCTGCTGGGCTCAGGTGATCCTTCTGCCTCAGCTTTCCAAGTAGCTGGAACTGCAGACATGCGCCACCACGCCTGGCTAATTTTTGGGTTTTTTTGAGTTGGAGTCTCACTGTCACTCACACTGGAGTGCAGTGGCCACTCCCAGCCTCCGCAGCCTTGACCTGCTGGGCTCTGGCGATCCTTCTGCCTCAGCATTCCAAGTAGCTAGAACTACAAGCGTGCGCTACCACACCTGGCTATTTTTTATTTATTGTAGAGATGAAGTCTCGCCAAATTGCCCAGGCAGGTCTCAAACCCGCGGGCTCAGGCAGTCCACTCACCTCGGCCTCCCCAAAGCATTGGGATTACAGGCTGAGCCACCAAGCCCAGCCTAATTTTTTAATTTATTGTAGAGATGTGGTCTCGCCAAGTTGCCCAGGCTGCTTTCGAACCCGTGGGCTCAGGCAATCCTCTCACCTTGGACCTCCCAAAATGCTGGGATTATGGACATGAGCCACCACGCCCTGCCCTTGTGCTTTCTTTTAAGTAGACGTGTGTGTTCTCCCTATCCCTCCCCTGATAATTTTTTAACAAAAAAAAGGTAGCATATAACATGTGATTCTGAAACTTCCTTTTTTACTTAACACTATAACTTGGAAAGTGTCCCAAATCAGTACATAAAGAGCTTTAGGCTGGGTGTGGTGGTTCACACCTGTAATCTCAGCACTTTGGGAGGCCGATATGGGAGGATCACTTGAACCCAGGAGTTCAAGACTAGCCTGGGCAACAAAATGGGACTTCATCTCTACAAAACATCAAAAAATTAGCTGGAAGTGATGGCATGAACCTGTAGTAGTCCCAGCTACTTGAGAGGCCAAAGGATCACCTAAGCTCATGAGGTTGAGGCTGCAGTGAGCCATGATTGTGCCACTACATTCTAGCCTGGGTGATGGAGTAAGACGCCAACTCAAAAAAAAGCTTTAGCTGGTTTGGTGACTCAACCTGTAATCCCAGCACTTTGGGAGGCTGAGGTGAGTAGATTGCCTGAGCCCGCGGGTTCGAGACCCGCCTGGGTAACTTGGCGAGACCT